TTTGTAGACTTCAGAAAAGAAACATTTCTTGAAACATGCTTCTGTAAACAAAAAGTAGCATTTTCAGTCAAAGGAACATTGTTTAACAAATAAAATGTATATGAATTGCAACCTTGTTCCCGAGTTTTTGCTAACCGCGCGCGTTTGCTTTGAAGTCCTAGAACTCCACATTTTTTTATAAAAAATGTTTTAAAAGTGATCTTTGAAGTCTCTGAAACGTAGATATATGTATTACTTGACATTTGGAAGAGGTACACTAATTATTTCATTCACCTTTTTGAAATTTTAACTGAGACCTGGTGCCAGCTTGTTGAATGAGTGAGGCCCGACAGGTCCCAACTACAGCTCGGACGGAAATTTCAATTAAATTGTAACAAAAAACTGCTTTAGGACTGCACTCACATGGAGACCATAGCAAAGATTACCTAAAAAACACAAAATTAGAACAATTAAGTTAAATTTTCAAGAAAAATAGAAGAGAACCTCTTACTTACTTGAAGTCCTGACCCCGAATGAAGGCGTGTTAAGAAAAACCTGTATAATGTAACATTCTTGCGCGCATTTTCAAAATGAGCCAATGAGAAGATTTTGCAATAAATGAAAGTTTCGCTACGACCAATCACAAAGTAGGACATGGAGGACATGACACTTGARTGACAGTTAGTAAGGTTTATGGGGGGCTCAACTATTTTTCAGGGTCGAGCGTTAACCATTATTCTCATTGCTCGCATTTTTCTAGCATTTTTCGTAAAACGAGAACCACTTCGTGGAACCGGCACCGTTTCCAGTTGTCGTTAATATAAACTGCGACGGAATTGAATGAAATAAATAAAGTCACTGCATTTTAAGACCGTGCAGCAGGTCTTCGGCCTGAACACGTACTCCAGAGCTATCCAAAACATATAAACAAACCGTAAACACCCCACCCACCCACGGTAGTAATGAAACAAACAGCTATATATTTCACCTTGCCTCTTCTTGTAGGCCCATTAATACAATAAAGGTGTACAAAAAGCTCCTATAAAGGTGTAAAATGAATCCACTCATATACCCTCGCCTTCCGGAATCAGAATCGGTCAGCACTACTCCCCCCTCCCTTAGTCAGGAASTGTGACGTCAAAACTATTTTCAAACCGACCAGATTAGGAGTTCCAGCAGAGTTTTGAACAGAGTGTGGAACAACTCGTTTTGTGGATGTTAGCACKCTAGAATAATATTATTTACTGTTTGCTCGTTTGAGCATCTCTCTGTCTTTGTTTTGCATCGAAGCAACGACGAGAACTCATTTTTTATAGGASCAAATAACGGATATCACTGATTTCCCAGCTGCTAACATGCGACGACTTGGAATCTTTGCTCCAGGTTTTCTTCTTTTTCTTTCGGCATCTTCGTTTGTGGAAGTTTCAAGCACACCAAAACAGTAAGTTTATCTYACTTTTTGAATTAATATTGTCAAATATGTGCATTATTGCTAAATTTTTTAAGTCACAAGAAAAATAGAGACATCGAAGTTCTATTGTAAAATCTCTGTGTTTATTCACGTGAGAACTTTGTTTATCAGAAATATATTCTAGTGAATACCCCGTGAGTACCTCTGAATAAATTCAGATTTAAACTTAATTCATTTTTCAATGGTTTGAGCAGCTTTCATGGATATAGCTGTCCTTGTTGTTTGTTTCTCTAAAAGTCTAGATCCTTTCGGTAAATCCAGATCTTAGGAAGCTACTCAACCAATTGCATAAATAATTTATATCATATGAAGCATGGCTAATTCGTTTGCATGATATGATCCTATCTAGTTCCTAAATAAAAGTTTCAAGTATGATTTCTATAAAAAAACGTCAAATCTCTTTAATCGATGTTTAGCAGGAGTGGTGATGATTTCATTTTGTAAAAATTTTCAATTATGAAGACATATCTATTTCTTTTCTGATACTGCTTAGGGTATTGAATTCAATAATATTATCATAAGTCTTATATACTCGTTTCTGATTGGCTTTTGTCTGACTAATATTTGTCAACATCTTTGTATCATTATGGAACAATTAAATAGATCTTGCGCACTACCATCACACATTCTGAAAACAGGCAGGTTTTTATATGTTTTATATGATGACAAAATGATTTCTTATGTTCAGTTTGAAAAATATAGTTTTTTTATATAATATACAGCAAAATGTTTAATGCTGTGATTAGAAATAAATTGATGATATTTATAAGCTTTTTTTTATCTGATAACGTGATTTGAGATAAATCAAAAACTATATCTCAGTGCATGGTGGTCTTGCACTAAACCAATCATAAATAATTGATAAATACTCCCTACTGGCAAGTTTCCTCATTAGTTTTGAAGAACGACTAATTAAAAGCCTTGTAGCACTTTTAGTCAACTTTGCTCATCACACGACAATATAATAGGAAGTTTCTATGCCTATATCTAGAAGATATCTACCACCCATGCACCATAAACCACACATCTTGTATTYTGATTGGATAAATAACAGATGTCTATTTCTGATAATTCTCCACTAATGAGCCAAGTTAGAAAATGAATTAAATTCTGTGGTAATTTGAATAATTTTCATGGATAATTTTCTAACTTTGAATTGACCTGTTAGTGGGCAATTTTACTTATATATCAAAACACTCAATCCACTTGGCTGTATAACGACTATAATAGCTTTATTCAGCTTATGGGCAAATTAGCTCCATTAATGTTGAGCTCTTAATGTCCTCAAGGTGGAGTGTTAAATAACATGATGAAAAACCTTCTTTCACTCTAGAACATTTTTGATCCTTGGACCCAAAGTTTTCTGGCCAGGAAAGACTCTGACACTAAAAGTCACTATCCTCAAGTCTTCTTCACCAGTAACAGTTACTGCAGCAATTATTTCTGGATATCGTCATGAGAAGTCTAAGTTGATTGCCATGAATAATGGGACATTTAATGTTGGTAAGATTATATGAAGTCCTATGTTTTCTGATCAGATTGTATTTCTGGTTGTTTATGTTTATGTATTTGAACCAATATTCTCTGCTTTTATCATTTTCAGGTACGACAGCTGATTTAGACATAAAGGTGCATTGTTTGTTTGTTTTTACTCATACATTAATTMAACTATCAATCATTTTTTGGACATTAATTTACTCATGACAATATTTTGGTGTTTTTGTTTGTATTATAAATTGTTTTATTRCCTTCATTTAGCATATCTTTTCATTTCCACATTCAACTATAGGTTTATTTAATCATTTTCATTCATCATTCATTTTCATCTATTCATTCATTTATTATCCTTCCATTCATTTTTTTCTCATTCACTTTCTCATACATTCAATCAGTTTTTGAAACATATTATAGGTAATAAAATGTGTTATTCATGTATCAGGTTCCTACTGGTTTGTCATCTGGTGGTTATAGACTCACCGTTAATGGTTCTGGTGGTCTTACCTTCTATAATGAGTCATACATWAAATTCCGACCTAAAGGAATGTCGATATATGTTCAAATGGACAAAGGGATTTACAAACCTGGACAAAAAGGTGTGAAGAGAGTGTTTTCTTTTTGAAGCATTAGCAAATGTTTTCATATACAACATACGAACATGGAAGGCGGAAATTTGGTTGGGAGGCCAGGTCCCCCAAGTAATTTTCAACTTTTGAATAGAATTGTTAATTTTTTATGTACTCATTAAATAGATAACCTATTACAATTTTCACAGTATCCCCCACCCCCCACCCTCCCTCAATAATTTTTCACTTCCGTCATCAACAACAACAAAAATAAAAATTAATAATAATAACAATCTTTTATTAGGAAAAAACTATCACATAAGTGTGGTTTTCATAGAATTCCTAAAAATTACATTGCTTATGTTTATAGTTCAAATGAGAATCTTTGCACTGTTACCAAGTCTAAAGAGTTATATGGGAAAGGTTGGTGAGAAGTCTTTTAATRTTGCTCGATTAATCAAGGATTATATTATTCAGTGTGCAATTTTCTGATTTACTTAATTTTGTTTGTTTTCAGATGACGGTTGACATTTTGGTAATTATTTTCTCAATATCCTTAAATTCTCACATCATTTGAGAATAATATTTAAGATACTTGTGATTGATAAAATTTATGCTAAATCTTAGACAGTAGTAGGCTGCATTCGCATTTTAATTTTTATATTCTCTCCAACTACTGAAGGATATACATATATATTTAGCTAAATSTTATGATTCAAACCATGATAGTGATAGTGTGGTATAAGCAATTATAATTGTAATGATTTTAATTATTTATAACTTGATATTTGATTGTAATTTATGTTTTCATTTCTTTAGGACCCCAATGAAAGCAAGATGGCTCACTGGCCTAACATCCAAGGACCTAACGGTAAAGTTTCTATCTTTTCTCAATGTTGTCAGGCTATATGTACATCTCATCAGATATATGATAAGAGTATCAAAATGAAATCCATTAGTCTTAAATGGTGAAAGTATGATTGCATGTTTGTATTTCAGGCATCGTAAAGAAAACTTTTCCTCTTTCCACTGAACCTGTGATGGGAGAATGGAAAGTTATGGTTATTGCTGCTAATGTAAGTATATTTTATCTKAAACATACCTATATTTTCTGTGGAATAATTGATGTATTCTAGAGAAGACTAATGTAAAATGATTCATATRTAAGGTATAAGACATAGTAGCATGGCTGACATAGCAGTTTACTGCTGTCTCTTGCACAAACATCTGTAGTTCTGTTTTTAGTTGTGGTGGCTTATGGGAGAAAACGTTTTTTATTGCCAATATGATACAACACCTAGGAAAAGCTGTATTTTTCTGGTGCTGTCTACAGTTTTTCCAATCAATTAGTTTAATTACCATCAACATTTTTGTTAAAGAATGAAAAGTTCAGATTAAAGCTCAGATGCTCACAAATATGCAAGACATCATCACGTACAATTAGTATATCTTTGTTTTATTCATGGCTTGGTATTTTCTTTAGGGAGAGAAATCATCAAAAACCTTTGAAGTCAAGGAATATGGTATTGTATTTTCTGAATTTATGAATAGAAAGTTTGTCTCTAATTTATTGTACTAACCTGTGTGCAGTCTGTTTAAAACTACTCTTTATTAAATGCTTGTAAACAGACTTCAAAAAGACATTTTTTTTCTAAAATCCTAACAATCAGTTACAATGCCATTATATGACTAATACACATYACTGTGTTGAATTTCAGTTCTTCCCAAATTTGACGTCTCWGTTAATKTACCTCCTTTCGTATTAAAAGATGAGAAAGAATTCTTAGTTAAAGTCGCGTCCAAGTAAGATTTTTTAAACATTTTAATTGTTTTATCATGTTTTGATCAATCACTAATATGTGTCCATTTGGTAGGTACACATACGGCAAAGGTGTCAAAGGAAAAGTTGTTTTGATAGGATATTTTCACAATTGGAATAGTCAGTATATCTGCTTTTCCAAGAACCAGTTGGTATGTAACTGAATCACATATTACATGTCTGAGTGATTTGATCCACTTGATACACATTCAATCCACTTAGTACAAACTTTTTAGTGATTACAGTTGTAGCACATTTATTGAACGTCAAACTGAACGATTGAGCGCTAACAGCTCAGCAATCAAGCATCTATCATGTGATATCATAATGGAAAGATCACAAATTCAATCATGTAATTTAATCCACAGATTGATGGAAGTGTTTCTATCCAGCTGTCCATTAGTGAAATYAAAGAGTGCTTTACAAAAACATTTACTCACGTGTCAAAAAGTAAGGCGGAGAGATATGTATTCCAATATGGATATCAGTTTATCGTCAACGCTACTGTAACAGAGGATCTTACTGGAAAGAAATACAGCGAAAAAGCTCAAGTCAAGTTTTCTTACTCAAAAGTGAAACTTGAGTTTCCTTCTTTCAATCCAAACAGCTACAAACCTGGTTTAGAGCTTGTTACTTTGGTATGTGATCAGTTGTTGTATGAGATAAGTCAATTGGTTTAAGCTATGATCAATTTGAGTTTATAGTGGACTAGAGGATTGAAAAAAGTTGAATTCTAGTCTTAGAACATCATCAGTTATATAGTAGTTATAGATAATATGGTTAAATTACAACAGTCAAAAAAACAACAACAAAAAACAAGAGATGAAATTACAAGTGGATTAACGTGTTTGACCTGAGTGTTAAGTTCAGGTTTAAAATGACTAATAAAAGGAGCTTCTTTTATTTTAAGCACATAACCATTAATAGCAGTGTCTAGAATTTCAAAGCAATCTGGTGGTGCAGAGGTTTTGCAGCTAGGTGAAGAAGCTAAATGCTTAAAAACGAGAGGATTTATCCCTATAATTTAAGCTGATGCTTATTAATACATTTGGAAAAATGGCGAATTGTTTCACCAATAAAATGAGTATTACTTTTGACCATTGTAATTTAATCATAAGTACTGTCTATAACTACTATTGATTGTACATTGTAATCATATTCAAACTGAAGATGGCTTTATGAAACATGTCTTTTAATTTAAAAGTATTGTGTTATTTTTAAAAATTATTGCTTCTTTTGTGTTTTTATGCTTACTTGGAAAACTTATCTTATGTGTCTTTTAATGAACTTTACAGCTTAAGCTTACACAACCCAATGGAGAACCTCTTCTTGATCCTGATGAATTAAGCAAGATTAAAATTACCATTAAGACAACATACAGAACTCAAAAATATCCATATACTACTTGGAATGCMATAGATGCATATTCCCCTTCGCCAGAGGGAATTATCATCATTAAAAGGAAAAGCCCTTCACAGAATGTATCCACAATAAGCATTCGGGTATATACTTTTAACTGATCATACTTCTATCAATCAAACAGTCACTTTGTCCTTCTGTCTGTACTTTCATCAGTCAGTCAGAGCCAGTTAGACATCCAATCAATCAATCAGTCAGTCTGCCTTGCGATTGATACGATTGATGCGATTGATTGGTAAATTTCTCAATCAATGAAGTGAATATTCAGATAATCTGTCAGTCAGTCTTTTGAACAGGCATTGTATCAGTCTGTCAATCATCATTCAATCTGTCAATCAAACTATCAGATCCATCATTCAATGAATCAATTGGTTAATCAGTCTGCCAAACAAGAATTATAATCAATCCATCTTGTTAGGCTCATTCTCAGGTACAGAAGACTGCAATAAACTGCGTATCAACAGCCTACCAACAACCTACTGACAACCTACTGACAGCCTACCAACAACCTACCAACAACCTACTAACAACCTACTTACAGCCTACCAACAACCTACTGACARCCTAYCAACATCCTACTGACAACCTACTGACAACCTACTGACAACCAACTAACAACCTACTGACAGTCAACCAACAACCTACTGACAACCTATCAACAACCTACCAAAAACCAACTGACTTAATGAAAGGCTAAAAAACAAACCTACCAAATACCCCTACTTTAATACACCACATTGAGCAGAACTTATATTCAGTTCAAACCAGTTCATTTCATGATTAACTAATTAGCTATTATGTTTATTAATTATCATTATACTAGGATTCATGTTTATTGTTTGTTGTAACATTTTTTTTCTCTAGGCTGAGTACAAAGTAGATGATGACTATCAAGAGAGAGCATATTTTACAGCRTATAAGTCAGAGTCACCGAGTGATTCATACATACAATTGACAACTACTACACCATCTGTCAAGGTAATACATGTAAAATAATACAGTATGTCTATACGTGTACAAACTTTGATGTTACATTTGAGGTTTTTATCAATCAATTTTTATCAATCAACTTTCCATGTTCTTGCTCTTGTTAGTCAGGTGACACCATTGACTTCAAGGTTGTCAGCAGTTTCCCAATATCATCATACATCTACGTGGTGAGTGAGTTGGTATTTTTTATAATTTTCCATAGTAATTTCAACTTTATGGCTTACTTACTGATGCAACTCACATGTAGTACCAAAAAAAGTACCAAGAATTTACCTCCAGTCATAATATAACTAATAAACTAAAGGCAGCTTGACATATTAATCTTTCAATCTTCTATTTTAAGGTTATGGCTCGTGGAAAGATAAGAGAGATGAAAAATGGTGATATTGAAAACAGTGCCAAAGAGTTCTCTTTCAGTGTAGTCTCAACACAAATTATGGCTCCTTCAGCACAAGTCATTGTGTACACCATACGCAAAGATGGAGAGGTTGTGGTTGACAGTTTGTCAGTAACAGTTGAAAACCCTTTTGAAAATCAGGTAGGGGACAGATTTTACTGTACACACATTACCGGTATTTTCTGTTTTTCTTACTCGGAACTTGTCAGAGTTCTTTAGTATGGATTTACAATGTTCGGATATCATTTCTGTTCAGAATGATAGCTTGGTGATTAATATTCAACATATTAGTGGAATCTTGAATGAGGTATGTATTTTGTTATAGGTCTCAGTTAAGTTCAGCCGTAACAAGTCTGGCCCTGGCGATCGAATTGGATTGATTGCAAAGGCTTCACCTGGCTCAAGYGTAGCTTTTCTTGTTGTTGATAAAAGCGTTCTTCTCATGAAGAAAGACAATGACTTAAGTCGAGATCAAGTAAGAAGATTTATTGTAAATGGCAGTTTTCATTTGCCATCATTGTTTGTTTATAGTAATTTATTASTAATCATTATTATTTATAGATTTTACAGGATCTTCAGGCTTACAGTGCATCTTCAAGTTGGTATCCATGGTGGGAATGGGGCTGGCTTTCTGGGGGCCGCTCTCGTCGAAGTATAATCATGCCCTTTCCAACTTCTGGTCGAGATGCAATGTCAGTGTTTGAGGTGAGAAGTWTGTTCATTTCTATYGATGCRTATTTAGTGYCGATTCATGTTTTATTCATGTAATTGTGATAATGGTTTCTTACGGTATTCAGATTCTTTTACTTCTTATTCTCYTTTACAGAATGCTGGATTGATTATCTTTTCTGACTGTTTGGTATTTAAACGACATTCATATGGCATGGGTCCATACCCTGTTTGTAAGTATCAGCCGTTATGAGATAATTTGATGTATATTGCAAAGTGAGTATAGAAATTTTCACACATCYAAACATCTTTGTAAT